CTTCATCAGGAGCATTATTAACTAAATGCAAACTCATTATCACTATTTCTCAGTTGTATTAACTCGATTTACCGGATCTTGATTAGGGGGTTATTTCTTTTAGATGAATCTCATAACACACCCTGTTAATTAGTCAGTAGTTCAGAGATAAAACTCAAACGTTATACCTGTGCAGTGAAGTTCACTTTTTTTTTTTTTCCTATCCTAGCCAGCTGGTATTAAACACTGATGACTGATTTTAATTCTTGTCCTATGAAAGCCAAGTCTGGAGCTAATCCCAAGTTGCCTGTATCATGTGAAGTATGTTCCTGGTGGAAGGGAGAGAAAATAGACTAAATTTTGTAAGTACCGCATCCTTTAAACACACAGTCCAGTCTGAATTCTGATCCTTTGAACCCACATCAACTGTGCTTGAACGAAGGAAGAATCAGAAGAACTGAACTCAGTCACTTGGCAGATTTCAGTAATAATAAATTGCCCCCCATTGTTAATCTGATGATAAATGTAGGGTCATATTTGTGATGCAATAGATTACCCTGTCCTCTTTGCTTTTCATTCTGGTTATGTCTTCTGTCTTACTTCTGTCCCTGTGTATGTTTTATTTTAATGATAGATGGCAGGGTAATGTGCAGGGATAACTTTCTGACCTTCATAATTGGATCACAAATGGAACTTAAGTTGGCAGAAGCACTGCGTTGTGAATACAAAAAGCAATCTGAGATGAATAAATGCTCATCTGTTCTCTGTGCTGCAAGGCCATGGTGTTAGAAACCTTGTCTCGTGTGCTAATGTCAGCGTGCAAGTCTTCTGGAAAAACTGCATTTATTGCAAGTGACTCACCTAATCGCTTGTGAAACTTTCTCAGATTACATAAAATGCACCATAAGGAAGTTCAGGCACTGGACTGATAATGACAAACTTTCTGGTGGCAATTAACAGGAAATTAGAGTTTGGGGATGTGAATTAATAAAAGGAGTAGACTAAAAAGTGACTCCAAAAAATAAATCAGGCCCATTCAGCAACAACGTGGAGGATGGCCCTAGACTTCTGATTATTTTGAGACGGTTCTGCCTTTATCCTTTCATCTCACTGGGCAGGGAAAAAAAGATTGAAAACCAGCTGGGTGTGTACGTGTTCCTGTCTGAATCAGAGCTAACTGGCTTTACAGATTGCTGGTGATGTGACTGCCTGTTTGATGTCATGGTGGGTCTTTCTTTTTGACCTGGAAAATTGTCCTTGACTTCTCATTATAAATTTCTTAACTAGTAAGTTCTGCTTAATAGAACTTGCCAAACTATTTATGTGGCATCATGATCAAACAGTCCATTTTTAATATCCTGTATCTGTGCTTAAGGGTAGCATTTGTTAGTGCCTCACACAATCGCGAAGTTAATCCAGTTCTGTCTGTCTGTGTGCGGTGCCACATGCCTTTCGGCTAGCTTTCAGAACAGGAAAAACCCAATGAAAAACAGGGAAATGGTGACGTTAACAGGAAAACACCCCAGGAGCTGACACAACCACACGTTAAGCCCAGCTCTTTCCAAAAGCTGAGTTCACGAAATGAGTCAGCCCCCGATGACTTTCATCTGACAGAACTGCTGCAAGCCCATAACCCTTAATTCTGCAGGTGCTCCCTGTTGCCCATCCCTGGTGCTGCCTTGCCATGCTGGTGGCTACCACCTGGGCTACTGTTTTCCAAGATGTTATGGGTTATGTGCAAGTTTTGTGGACAGATCCATACCAGCTTTAGTTTAAGACCCCTAAATGTGCGTACACGTGTATGTACAAATCTGCCGAGTGTCTTAAGCTCTTACTGCAGGTGGTGGAGCTGCATTGAACACAGGCCATGGAGGTTTAATGTGGGAGCTGTTCAGCCCACTCCAGAACACCTCCGTTCAGCTCCACTGACTGCACCAGCCTGGTCACCTTGTTCACATGCAGGCAGCTCCATCGGGTGCTCGCTGGAGGCAAGCCTCAGCCTTCCTTTCCAGGGCCTTCAAGGATACAGTCAGTCTGCGGATCCTGCATCTGCCCATCCTGCACAGCAACACACACATCTTCGTTTTTGAATTCAGCGTTGTACCTGACGTACCTGTAAGTAGCCCTATTCTGCCTTTGCCCTTTGGTCTGTTAGAGAAATGGAAGTGCCTGTCATGCCCACTGCCCTAATATTCTTATGTTGGCCTACACAGATGTAGGACATGGCTCTCCTGGGCTGTAGGTTTTTCCTCCCTTTTCCTCCTATGCTGCTATTACATTGAACTCCCTTTATTTTCCCTGCTAAACAGTTTTAAGTGAGCAATATATGGTTTCCTTGTAATCTCCAACCACTGTCCTTGACTAGTAGTTAATAGTACAGAAGGGAGTCTTCTAGCAGGGAGTTGCCCAGAAGTGTAATGTAGCAAGGGAGGGCTGGCTTGCTGGTGAAACTGCAGCAAACACTGACATGAAAGAGTCTGAGGAGCTGTCTAGCTCAGTGTCAGAAAGGCAGCTAAGTATAAAACACATCATGAATGTTTGTGATGAGCTAGCTGGCAGTATTTCTTTTGTGAGGTTTGGACCACCTTTATGTTAACTTCATGCCGTTTCATCTGAATCTTTTCCAGGCAGGTGAAAAGAAGCCAGAGGTGCTCATTTCTGACATCTGAGGAAAGCTACTGACTGCTCCTGGTACTTTGACAAAAGTAGATAAGAAGCTATTGTGAAAAGCCAACAGACCAGAAAGTACAAGGAGGAGAGAAAACAATACAAGGCTAGGTCCCCAAAATAGCAAATACTTCCCTCCCTCCCCTCCAGGTTGGTAGCTGGCAAGCATTCAAGCTGATATTCCTTACATTTTTAAAGCCACCTTAGCAAACAATATTTTACGAAGGAAAATTGCCTGAGCTATATCAAGGTTTGAACAGGTGGAATGTGTCGTTATTGAATTTGTTCAGTGGTGATTCAGACAACTTCGTCTTCTGAATTTGCTAACCTGTATGGAATAGAAATCTGAGTGCTGTGTGCCCTGTTTCCTGACGCAGCTTCTTGCAGGAGCCTTTGAAGCACGTCACAGCTGTGAGATTAAAAGCTCAGTTCCGAAGTCAGGCAATCATGAAACTCTTTGATATGAGATCAAACCTCCCAGTGTACGAACACAGAGGGTGCTTGAAAGCTCTGACTTAGTGCCTTAGTTACCTTTAAAAATAAAATAAAATAAAAAAAACAGTCTAGCTAATGAAGAGACAGAAAAAGCACTTCATAATCTCTAAGGCAATGAATGAAATGGCAGCAAGTAGTTAGATGGCTTCAGAAAAGCAGCAGAATGTGTAGTTTTTCAATAGTACACAAATACAGTGAGAATCCTTAAATCCTTAAAAGCAAATCCTTAAAGTAAATTAGGCAGACCTAAGGGGGAAAATAACACCATAATATGTCTTTGAAACTGAAATTATACACATGAAAGAAATCTGTTATAAAACAAAAGAAATGTAGCACAAACTATAACAATGTCAGAAGAGATTTTATCAGTTACAGTGCTGATGTGGTCCTGCTCCAAAAAAAAAAAAAAAGCAGAATGAATGTATGATCAGAAATAGCTGAATGGCTAAGGCAAAGACTAAAAAGTTGCTGTTTCCAACCAAAACAAAACTGAACAAAACACAGGTGCTGCTGTTTTAATTTCTAATGAGGCTTGCATTACCACTTTTGTCTCCAGAGCTGAAAACAGACAAGTTAGCAAGATGAATTTATGAGTGCAGGAAACTTAAAAAAACAAGGCTTGTGCAAATCAAGGAATAGTAACTTTTTGGTTTTTATATATTGCTATGACCCTTCAGTGCAGAAGGGAGAAAGCTCAGGGGAAAGAACAACAGACTAAACAGAGAAAAGAAATCACAGCTGGGAAGCACCTGTAGAAAAGATGGAAGAAAAGTAGAAAAGCACATACAGAAAGCAGCTGGCACATGAGAGTTCATTTAGCTTCTTTATTGCGTTGTCAATGATAGTGCACAGTCGATAATCCGTCATATCTGTCTTCGTGTCACAGCCTGGTGAGGGTTATTTTTCTCCATTCCCTGTTGTTTATCATCTTGTCACTTCATTTTCTTTTTCCATCAGCCTCCAAAGTCTTCTAATCTGAATGTTTGCAGTATATTTCAGATTTTTGTGCCTTTAGGCTGTGCTTGTAGACCGTTAAAAGCTATGCTTGGCTTGCAGTGTAGTTAAAAGCAGCTATTCACTGACATTTTTACAGTCGTAATGCAAAAACAGAGGTTTTTCTCTTACATTCTCATACCAGTTGCTGCCCAAATGAATACTAATTGTGGCATTCCGTTGTTCACCAAGTTTTTCTACTTCTCTATACCTTGGGTGAAGCTTTTGTCCTGAAGACAAAGTACAGAAAGTTAATTTTGTCCATCTTGAATTGCTTTAATACAATGGAAGTGCCAGCTCATGCTCACAGCATGTTGTCTGTGGGCATACTTCAAACAAAATCTTCTCAGGGCACCGAGAGACCCTGCCAGTCCCACAGAGAACATCAAACGACTGCGTCATCTACTACCAAGAGGACAGTAAACCATCAGGTGACGGCATTGTTTGCAAAACTGGGATCATCACATGATTCCTGGCAGCTGTGATTTCAGAGGAAGACTTTCGATATATATCATAAGGTAGCTTTCTGTGACATTTTGTTTCCAGACACACCCTGTGAAATATATTTAGTTCCTAAAATACTCCACTAGTGAGTGTTTGGCAGAACAGTGTGTGTAAGTCTGCATTGAGGATGTGATAATTTGGGCAAAAACTGCAAGAAACTCCAACAAAAAAAACCTCCAACATACATTTGGACTTTGCAGTAGTGAATCATTGAATTATTAAACTGACATTTCTTACTCTGCAGTAAGGAAAAAATGACATTTTAGAATATCAGATCAACAGGGACAATATGCCAAGAGCTGGCAGCAAGGCAGAACAGGAATGCAAAACCCAGTCAATAACAAAATGGACTCAGATCTTAGACATAATAACTTAATGGGCAATGCTATATATATATATGTCAATAAAACACTATTTTCTGGATGAAAGTTTGTAAAATGTGAAGCTGGAAAAAAAATCCTGTCTAAATTCAAAGTTTTTTTTTACAGAGAGGAGTAAGAAGAGAAAATGAGGGCACAGAAAATGTTTGATCAAACTGACGTTAGTTTTGATCTACTCCTGATTTGAAGACACCAGACCTACCCAAGACATTGTTTCCAGCTGTTCTTATGGGAAGAAACTAAGAAGCAGCCAAAGTGAGGATGCTTGCAAAAGGCATCTTGGATTCAAAATGTGCATTCATTTTCATATGCTTAAATCCATTTGTGAGCATTCACATATGTGAATTTTCTGAGTCATTGTGTGGAGAAGCAGTGCAGAAGAACAATAGTACTTTCACATTCTTTTGTTGCCATTTTTTTCTAAAACACTCAGTCAAATTAAAACAGTATTTTGTCACTAAAGAATTTGAATAAATGACCCTAAATCCATAAGCTCCTCCCAAAGGCTTTATAGCAGCTCTTTACTATTAATTCCTTCATGATTTGTAATTAGTCACTTGAAGGAAGGTCAGAAGAAGGAGGAAATTGTGGTTTGAAATGTTCTTAAAAATTCAAACAATAAAAAAACTGTGTTTGCTGATCGTTAGCACGAAGAAAGCTCTGGGTGTGTTTCTTTAGGCTTCATTTTCACAGAATCACAGAAAGTTGGGGTTGGTAGGGACTGCTGGGGATCATCCAGCCCAAATCTGTTTGACCCCCCATGTCAATTAGACAAATTAGTCAAACCAAATAAAGCCAAGCTTCAGGCAAGTTGGGAACGGTTTAGGGAGAGCAAGCCTCAGCCTGAGGCCTTGCAGACTCAGTACAAAGCTTCTGGGCTATTTCTATTACAAATTCTGCAGTATTACAGGGCTCATGGTTACAAAATCCATGCTGACTGCACCCAGTCACCTTGTCCTTCATACACTTGGAAATCTGGGAATATTTGCTCCATCGCCTTCCAAGGCTGACTAGCCTGTATTTTCCAGGGTTTTCCTCCTTGCCCTGCTTGAAGATAGAAGAAACATTTTCTGTTTTCCATTCTTTGGGAGCCTCTCCTGGTCACCATGACCTTTCAGAGATAATTGAGAGTGTTACAGAATTATAAAATGATTTGGTGGTTTGGAAGGGTTGTATTTTCTCTCCCTTCGAGAAGGGGGAGTGAGAGAGTGGCTGTGGTAGAACTTGGCTGCCCAACCAAGTAAAAGCACCACAACTGGCTCCCATGGTCCCTTCGCTCTAGGGATGGATCCTTCACACAGGATTTTTCTAAGCAGATACCTGAAGAAGCCAAAGTCTCTCCTGAAGCCCGGGATGTGATTCTGACATTTGCCTTGTTCCCTCCTTGCAGAATCCTCCACCAGCTCATGGTTGCTGCAGACAAGGTTGCCCCTGACCTTCACCTCTCTGATGAGGTCTTCTTTCTTTGTAAGCGTGGGGTCCAGCAGGGTGCATGTCCTTGTTGGGTCTGTGGTCACCTTTGTTAGGGTATTTTCATCAGTGCACTCCAGTAATCCTTTGCCGTGTGGGCAGCAAATTAAGAAAACAGAAAGGTAGCCAGGGTAGTAACAGACAGAAAAAAAGAAATAAACCGCTAACCTTGTTCTGAATTCTATAAATAAAATGTCTAAATAGGAAGGAGAAAACATGTCATTTCCAGGGAAGGTGAGTCAGCTGAGACCTGGACTAACACCAGATTACATGAAACGAGTCTTGAGTGAAATCCTGGCTCAAGTGAATTCAGGAGAAACCTTTGCTGGTTCTCATGAAGACATGTGGCAGGGTTTTACTCATCTTTAACAGTTAAGGATTTTGTTCCTTATTCTGCCAGGCACAACTGGGTAACCAAAGACAGTTTGCCTAGGGTGAAGTTTTCAGACATGGCCACCTAGTTTACAGTCCTCAGGTTTTGGATTTTGGTTTCAAAACCCATGCCTAAATATGCTCAGAGTGCACGTGCATCTTTTTGACATCGCTTGGATCTCTGAAGGCTCACCCCATCTGAAAACCAAGCAGGAGAGGTCACAACAAGTAAGCACTTTGCATCCTTGGTCTTACGTCTTGATATGTGTCAGTGCTACAGATTTGTATAGCCATAAAATAGTAACGAGTCTATTTACAAAGGCTGTGCAAAGTTAAGCTAAGCTTTGTAGGTTAAAGTGAAATAAGCAGATTCAAAATGCAAACTGTTGTTATACATTCATGAAGTAACTTTATTTTGTGGTATAAAACTTTCTACCAACCTTTGCAGTTTTCTTTCAGCATCACCCAGCAGTCCCCAGGGAACCAATTTCTCTTAATCACACCTTGCTGGCCGGGCAAAATGTGGTTGGCATTGTAAGTAATTGAGTTTAACAAAAAGCCAAAGCAAGCTACAATAGTGCAGCGATTGGCCTGTTTAATTAGTTAGGTGCTTTTATTTGATTTTATAGACTCTTGTTACAGGCAGTTTGTCTTTGATATTCCCTCTCCTTGTGTTTGTCTCCAGCCATAAAACATCTGTTCCCCATGTAATTGGGAGAAGGCAGGATAATGTAATTAAGGAAACATCCTTTAGCTGCTGAATCTTCTTCCTGATGGGGCTCGAGCTGAAAGCAAACACTGCTTATTTTATCAAGCAATGATTACTCACTAATCTGTTTAATCTGGGTATGGGCTAACAGAGAGCTGCAGCCGATTTTTTTTTTTTTTTAACGAATTATTTGTAAACTTGGCTCCTCCTTGTGGATGATCTTTGTAACACACCCCTGGGCAAACGGGCTCCAGTCTGTGAAAAAAAAAAAAAACAACAACACACTGGACCTAAATTTTCAGGTTGCCTGGATTTAGAAACAGCAAGTCATTAAAAAATTAACACCCTAAAAGCATTTCGGCCATGAGCCAACACCAAATTCCCGTTTTGTGGTGGACCCCTATTGCAAAGCCACAAAGTGGTTCGTGGTTCATCTGCAGATGGTTCTGTGAAGAGCCTGGCCAAGGTGGTGCAAAGGGAAATGTTTTCCTGAGGAGGCCAGCAGGCCTTTTATTTACAGCTATGGTGTTAGCAGCTGATGAAATTTGCTGTGTTTTCAACCTTAAAAATGTCATATCTGAATGTTATCCTGAGATGAAGGATCTTTCTGAAGTAGAAACTCTGTCTATTCAAGCCTGAAAAACTCCCTTATTTGATGGTAGTAGAAATTTATAGGTCCTTCTCATATGAAGTTTATCTCTGCTATTCTCTGTTCTGCTATTTATTCCCAGTCATGAAACGTTTGTTCTCCACATAATTACGAAAAGTCAAAATAAAATTACATCCACCTGAAATAAAGATTTAGATTTTCTTAGTGCAGGCCTTCTGGGGAATTTTTATTTAAATTTGAGCATTTCTTAAAGGGAAACACTCTTTAAAAAGGAAACTGACACATTCTTTATGGAAATGATGGGGAAAAAAATATATTTTCTGTGATTTAATAGACCAAATATTGCATAGTTTAGAATGCCCAAATGGACAGTATGGCTGGAACAGATGTTGTTGTATAATGGCATTTGAGAAGCATTACAAAAAATATGTTTTTCATGTCTTAATGGTTCTCCCGCTCTTGTACATTAACTCGGTTTGTTTGTTTTTACAGTGCTTTTAGGAATTACTGCTTCTCTTTGTACCTAAGAAATCCACTTCCCAGGCAGGAAAAGCAGTAGGATCAGAGGATGGTGCTGTTCCTGGTGGTGGTGTTTCTCTGGCTCCCAGCTTTGCAAATAGAGAGTGCAACATCCACAGTCACGTGGCAGAGACTACAAAGCAGTCATCCATCTTCATTTCACTTTAATACTGTTTTCTTTTCATGTATAAAATGAGGGGAAGGAGGAACAAAGCTTTGTCTCCTTCCATCATCATGATTCTCTAGCAAACCCATAATCAGAGGATCCATTACAAAACTTCTGGCGAAGGGATAGAAACCTTTTAATATGCAGATGACTGGACGTAGTCCAGAACAGGGAACAGCTCATGCAGCCTTTCTTTGCTTTTGTTCTCATTCAGATTTTCAAACACGAGCAATGACATTTCTGAGAAGTCCGCATTGTTCCATTATGGCTGTGCTGAGAGACGCACCTGCTCCTGTGAGTGCTGCCAGCCATAGGACTTGTGTGGATGCTTGGCAGCATGGTCATGGTCCAGGAACTTCTCCTGTCCCTTTCCCCATCCCTAGAGCAACCAGAGCAGACATCCAGACGTCTTATTCTCCAGTGTGGATTTAACTGAGGATGTCCTTAGGACGTAATGATGATCACAGTGCTGTTGTAATTTTCCTAGCAGCAAACAGCTAGGTATATTGATTTTTTAATTAAGATTAGGATTGCAACAACAATAGAGAGATGGCATCAAAATAATTAAAAACTCATTTTCCTAATCTGGCTAAGTGATCTGACTGATACGTTACTCACTATTCAGGCTACTGGATGCAGAAAAAAACAACTATGCAGACATGGGAAGCTTTTTCTGTACCAGTCTTCAGATAAAATAACCCAATTTGTTTCCTCCTTTTATTAGAGAAGATGACATTCAACAGCCATGAAAGTCAGAATTATAAAAGAAAGTTTTTCTTATAAGCAGCCCACTGAATGTGTTGTTAGGAAGGTATGAATCAGTTGTTTGTGTGTCACTGGCACCAAGATAATGAGGGCATAAACAGCTCAAGTACTTGCAGCCTTTTTATAAATGCATTTGGAAATTGGAAGGACTTTCATACCTTCAAGATAAAGGCTATTTTAAGCAGGCTAGGGAGAACATTGTTTTACTGCCAAGTGAATTTCTGACCACGTGGTATGGACTTCTTGTACCTTTCTCTAAAGCTCATGATGTTGGCTGTGGAGATGGCATAGAAGATAGAATCTTGGAATATGGAAAATCACAGGATCATTAAGGTTGGAAAAGCCCTCCAAGATCACCTGGTCCAACCATCCCCCCACCACCAGTGTCACCACAGAGCCGTGTCCCCAGGCACCACGTCCAACCTCTCCTTGAGCACCCCCAGGGATGGTGACGCCACCACCTCCCTGGGCAACCCGTCCCAATGCCTGACTGCTCCTTCTGACAGAAATGTCTCCCAATTTCCAAGCTGAAATGGTGTAGTAATTATATGTATATGATTTAGGGATTTATTAATTGTAATAATTTGGTAAATGTATTCCTGGCTCAGTCAATAATCCAAACACACATTTCCTCCAGAAGCTAATGTCACTGTATTGTAATTAAAGCAAATTCCTTGTTCTGAAATGCTAACACAAAGACACCTCCTAAAATTCAATGCACATACTATTCCTTGAAGTAAGAGTAAACTAGTCTGACCTGGTTGAAAAGAGCTAAGAAGGTAAAGAGTTGGAAAATATGTCAAGTGACAGACCTGATTTAGGAGAGAGATATTGATATATGGATGGATAAGCATGAAATGATGACCAGCTTGCCCATCTCCATGCAGAGCATGAATAGGTGCTTCGTGACAAGGCATGCTTAGGTGTTTCTTTTAGTATGAGGTTTGTCTCCATGAATAATTCTGTGTTTTATGAGACCTTAAACTCTCATAAGTACTAATACTGACATTTATGAGTCATTAATTCTATTGTTGTCCTGAAAATAACAGAACTGCGGGCGCTAAATTCAGTCAGAGACGTTCAGATGAGTCTGTAACCCAAGATTTCAGCCTAGGAAGAAATACTGCTCCCCAGCTACAGAGACTGATTTTTGAAAGGGAATTGATTGAGACAGGTACAACTCTTTCAAATACTGCTGGTTGTCCTGGTGTTTTGCACTAAGTGGATTTCTAACTGGAGCTATCTAAAAAATATCTTGCTAAATGTGGTCAGTAGCAGTCATTCTTCCTCTGGGTACCTTACGAGAATCAGGTTCACCTGTAAGGAAGCCAAAGTATTTTTAATTTACTGCTGGTATAACTTGCTTCCTGGCAGAGTACTGGTACAGCACCTAGTAGGGGGCAGCTTCTCAGGTTTTATTTGGCAGCTCCCAGCCTTTCATCTAACAACAGAGCCTGCATCGGAAAGATACGGCAGTTGTAGCCTAGGAGACTCAATTATTTCAAGGCTGAAAAAATCTCAAACACTCTGAATTACATGCAAGTTCACAGATTTGAAATAAGCCAGCACATCCTGATTTTTTCTAAACCTTTTTTTTTTTTTTTTTTTTTTTTTTCTGGTGTTTGCAGTGCTTAAAAAAAACAGCTGTGTGTCAACAATAACAGTAGGTTTAGTTTCACTTAGTCTAGGTGCTAAATGCAGTGCTAGGGGGATGCTGGAAGCACTTCGCTCCCTTTTGCTGGCAGCGTTGCTGCTCGATCTGTCTACTTGACATAGCCTAAATTCGGCCCCTCGGCTGGAGGTGAAATGTGCATCATCCTTCTCTGAAACAAGAATCGTGTTTGTTTGCGTGCTGCTGCTGTGCTGCCCTTTAAGGCTTGGGCTCCTGGAAGGAATGGGTAGGGGCTGAGCTGTTGGAGTCATTGGGTAGCTTTATGTAATTCTCCTTTGAATTTTCAGAAGAAATTTGCAGCTTTTTGAACTTGCTCCACGTGACTGCTTGAGAGCAGCATCTGAACGGCATTTCTGTCTGCTATTTGTTGCGTCTGTCACAACGTTTGGCCCGGCTGCAATGCTACCAGCAGGGGTGATCTGGAAAAGCCTCCCCAGCTGGCAAGCCTGAGCAGCGTGTGTGTGCCCTGGCTGGCACCAACGGCGCGACTCATCCCTCAAGAATATCCCTCCAGATTCCCTTCAATGTAAATATTGGCATTGTGTTAGGATCAAGGCCTGAGTCTTTACAGGTGAGGCCTTCATTTTGCTCTTAGCATCAGTCTCCCTCTCTGCCCCCCAGCAGCACAGGTAGGTCCCGTGGGTCTGACAGCTCCAGGTAGATCTTCAGTCCTTCCAGGCACGTAATGGGTTCAAACCAAATTCCAAATTAATCCTTAATTGCTAGTCAGGAAATCCCAAGAAGTTCCTCAGCTACAACGGAGTTCCCCATTGTCGCCTGGGTGCTATATTGACACTTGGATCTTGTTGGTTGTCACCGAGGTGGATGTTCTGCAGATAATCTTAATGAAGATAATTTTATTATTAAATAAGTGGGAATGGTTTCTTATGATTTATTTGAAGGGTCACTTGTTTCCACCAGTACTGTTAGGGAATCAGATCCATCCCTCCTGCGGAGTCTGTCACAAATTGTAAAGACTCGGACCTGGTCACTCTGACCTAATGGCTGTAGGCGACTGCCCTGCAGTTTGGGGATTTGAATCCTTTTCCCAGCATAAATGGGGATATCCACGTGTGCACGGGGCGGTCGCTGTGCCCACCTGGGTGGTTGCACGTGAGGAGTTTGGTGCAGCAGGTGACGTCTGTCCCATTGGACACAGCAGGGTAAGAGCCCTGCCCAGTGACCTAGCAAAAAGTTCTTTATCCAAAAACAAACTGCTCGGTTGCCTACTGACTGTTTTGGCAGGGATTTTACCTGGGATTGTTGTGTATACAGGCTGAAACCATCAGCAGAACCATGAATTTCAAGTCCTGCTGGCAGCTCCTCATAGTGAAAGGCTGGCTGCAGTACTGCCAGGGCTGCTAAGAAGTTCACAAGTACAATCATTTTGCACTCAAAGGTGCTGATTTCTCAAACTGTGTGTTGGAAAAGAACAGTTTCAATAAAATGTAAAAGCCTTAAAAATGCCCTAAAGTTGTTCAGATGTCCTATTTCAACTCTTCTCAGTGAGCTTTTCAGGAGGCCTCATTTTACAATTGAAATTCATTTTCAGTAAAATTAAAGCCAAATTAAAAGAAATATTTTGATGGTTAAAAAAATAATCCAATCTAAAGATCTAAAGTTACTCTTTTGCAAGCTTTCAGTGTTTAAGCATGCTCAGTAATATACTTTTTGTTCTGATTTTGGATGGATATTATTGTTTAGAAATTTCAATATTTTTGATGGAAGAGGAAATAATTTTCAACTGGATTCTGATTGCTCTTTTGGATGGAATTAGCTAAATCCTACAGAATGCCCATCTCTAAGAATGCCCATTTGTAAGACACAAAACAGGATAATTATATATTTTAAACTGAAGAAAGTTGATCAAATCTTGACTAATTCATGAAGATGATGATGCTTTGATAGCGTCGGGATTTTAGCATATCTCTAAATAAAATGCTCTCCTACTCTTTTTAAGCCATTAAGATGTCTTTATATGCCCGTATAATTATGCTTAGAAATCAGGTTCTTTCTGTTTCTCCCAGATGTTGCTTGTTTGGTCAGTGCAAAGGGGAAAATAAGCTTAAGAGCGTTCTTGTCCTTCAGCAGCAAGGTGACAGCGGCACTCTGAGCTGCAAGAAGACACTTGGTGCAGCCACTTGCTGGAGAAGCTGTGTCTTTCCAGGTACACTTTTTACCTTTTGGTCGCATGATTAGATGGTCCTATTTCCCCTTCTATCATCAAACCCTCTGTTACCCTTCCCTGGACCCGAAATGGCTGGCATATCTCCCCGGTCCTTCAAACTACTAATGCTTCTCTCAACTTTCTTTCTCTATTCCTCAGCTTTTGTTCACGTGGAAGCTGAACTCACAGGCTCTGGCAGAGATACCTAGGAATGAAAATTCATGTGTGAAGATGATGAAGGCTGGGAGCACCGTGGCTACAGGTAGCAGCAGCTGCTTGAGCTGGTTACTGGCCTCTTTATGTTCAATGCAAGAAAGATTTGAATTTTAGTCCATATTTATTCAGCATTAGCTAATATTGTTCATGCCCACAGAGTTTTGTTAAAGAAATTCCCCAGGAACAGAATTTGGGTAATGCCTCAGAAAATGGGGCTTGGACCCCTAAAAGAACCACTTGTAGCCATTGCAGTGTAAATGCTCAACACTACTAGTAGCAATCAATGCAATCAGAGTCCTACATGGCAGTCATCCTGCCTCTGTTTTTAGAAAGAAAACATCCCAAATCAGAGTAGGGAACTACTAAAAGCCTTGAAGAAATGTCTCATAAAGATGAAGCCTAGACCATCTATTTAGGACGTATATATGTAAGTTGGGATGCTCAGGGTAGCTCTGATTGCCATAGAGATGATCACAGCTCTCCCTGGAAATATTTTAGCTAAACATAGGAGCAGGGCTCATGGTGGGAAGTTTCTCTTCTGGAGTGCCTTGACACTTCTAGCAGAGCTCAGAAATACAGACCGGGCTTTTGTAAAATACATTTTATGCAGAAAAAGTTAAATCTTTGTGTAAGCGTTCCTGATTGTTCAGGGTCTTGTCTACAGCATTTTAAAATGACTTTGATTGGAGTTTTTGGAAAAGAGACCACGTTACTTCTGGAAATTTAGCTGCCCCTGGAGGGAAGCCAAGGGGATTTCCAGTGTTCATTTTTATTGCTGGAAGGAGAGAAGCAGCAAAGGAACTGCACTACAGCTCACCTACCTCGGGTACCGTTCCCTCCACAAGCCGGAGGTCCCAGTATCACAGGCCATTACAGACTTTGGAAAGGTTGGCCTTCAAAGCAGCGCATGCAAGAAATGAATGAAGTCCTCCTGAGACGCACCTGTTACCCTGCCAGGAGAGGCAAAAATTTCATTTCCCTTCCCCAGAGCTCAGCTGGGGCCAGGGAAGGAGCAGCCAGACAGGGGGCAGCATCTGCTCAGCCAGGAGCTGGGCTGCGGCTGGGGGGAGCCTGCAGGGGAAGAAAATGAGCTCTGCTCGCTTGGGTGCAAGCCCAGGGGAGAAGTTGTGATGCTTTTTTGATAAGCTGCGGTGGCGGCCGATCAAAGTATAGGCCTCGTTTCTTGGTGATAGACGGGGCTGTTTCTGTCAGGACACAAAGAGCTGCGGATTGCTGTGAATACCTGAATAGCAGAACGCCCGTACAGTTATTTGCTGCTGCTGGCACAGAAAGCAATAGGTTAAGGCTTGAATTGCAAAAAGAATTGAGCCGATTCCTAGGCCTTCTATAACAGAAATTATACAAAGGGGAACAGCAGCAGCTCCTTTTTAGACTGGGAGTACCTAAAATTAGCATCTGACAGTCCGTGTCACTAGTCCTCAGTGCCACTGTGGAACTGAATGTGTGCAAAGTGATCAGCATCTGTCAGATCACTCTCACCAGACAACCTCCATCGTTAGGCAGGGCCACTTTCCTCTGTCCTGCTGGCTGCCAGCTGCCGAGAGACCTGGCAGGTTGTTGCTTGCAGCATTAAAGCCGTTGCCAGCTGCAGAAAGGTCCCCATCCTCCTGTTGGCTTCTGAGCTCCTGGTCTGTGCTGCAGAGAGCTCCAGAAGCAGGGGAGGGGATTCTCTGGGAAGCCAGCCCTGCAGGCTGGGTGCTGCTGTGCATGCAGCAGGAGCCGTGCAGCATGCCCTGTGCCCACCGGTGCCTCCTCCCCTGTGTTCACACACCGAGGCTCGTAACGTGATGCACTGTTACAGCCCGGCTATTTCTTCATCTGGGGTGCACAACTGATAGCATCCCTTCCATGGCCCTCTGGCCTGCAGGAGAGGGCTGTCATTAATTGAGACTGGAGCAAGATTCGTCCTTGAGGGCATGAATGAACGAATTCAGAGATGAATTTAGACAGGTTGGAGGTACCTAGTCCAGAAGCAACCATCCTAGTCCACAACCATCACATTTTCTTTAAGTCTTCTCACTCCCTTTCTCTCCTAAGTCCCACGTCTCTCCCATCTGATCCTGAACTAGCATCCAGTTTTGACAGAAGGAGGGGCTGTGTCCCTGTCTCTCCTTCCCTCCCCTCCTTTAGCAGTTATTCCGGGAGCTGGCAATTGCTTTGAGCCCTCATCTCTTGCTTCCTGGAGGAACACTGTCATCACTGGTCAAGCAGATAAAATGGTGGGAACCATGTCAAAATCTAACAGTGAATCTTGTTTTGTTCTTTGTCACGATGCAGGTACCGTTCCTCTAACTCTGGGTCTCCCAGAGCAAGAACCTGCCCACAGCCCTGAATGAATTCCCTCAGAACTTCAGCCTCCTTCCTCTCCCTCATTTTCTATTAATTAGCTCTGAGTAGAAGGGCTGGGGATATTTCTTTGGAGCCACCTGACCCTATCCCGCAAGGTGTATCCCAGCTCATAGCAGGGAATCCTGCGGGTTCCTCAACAAGTTCATTATTGCCTAAGATCTTTATTATTTTACTGGGGATTTGTGTTATCATTTATATGCATTTTTTTTCTATAGGTTATCTCTTTTAAACTATTTTTTTTTTGGTTACAGACCCAGTCTACAGCTGCACTAACCACATCACTGGGTTAAGCCAAGTGAAGCCAGTGGTTTTACACCAAGGGATGCAACGACTCAGTTTCTCCGTCCATCCTCATGGTCCATCCTCTGTCTCTAGTCTTTTAGTGCCTTCCAGTTCGTCTATCCTAATGTTCACATAAAAAGAAAAACGTAAGCAAAGATATGACTTATTCCAGGCTGTAGTTTTTATACATTAGATCCTTCCCTATTCCAGTAAGGGTGGCACCATGAAATAAATGCTCAAAAAGATTTTCTCACTGAGTTAACAACTACTTTAAGTAAGGATTTGTAAGATTTAAGGCTTGTGCCATTCTTTACAAAGGAAATTCAGTTCACATAGCTTACACTGCATGCATGATTATGATCTTAGACTTCGACTGCATGCGCTTCATTTTGTCACATATGGGCCAGGCTGAAAAAATTAATGAATACCCAATATTATCCTAGCAAATTGCAAGCATGTTTGTTTTCACATTCAATTTTAATTAGGCCAAGACTACCATGAATCATTTGAAAGGTTCTTGGGACCCATCTTAATGACATCCTTTTGTTTGTTTTTTCCATGCAAACTTTAGCTGGTGTACTCATGGAAAAGATAATTAGCAATGAACAAATATAGTCTTCAGAAAGCAAAGTTGTCTTTGTTACTTAGTAAAACAAACAAACAAACGGGGCTCATTTAGGCATGGCAATTTGCTAGATAATAGGTATGTCATTGAACAACTGAAGCGGAATGGTTGGTATCTCTCTTTTTGATTCCTTACTCAGGTGTGACATAAGGATTTAGACCAAAAGAAAAGACAGGAGGGACTCCTTCCCAGTTGTAAAAGTGCCTGATGAAAGAAGGCTTATTTCCCACCTGCGGTTGCTAAAAGGGAAGCCACGACCCAGCGCTGGTACCAGGGCTGTCTCCATCCCACAGTGGGTACACGCTGTCCCCTGCCTGTCAGCCCAGAGGAATGTCATCAGCCATTGCCCAACACTCAATTAGTTTTTTAAACCAGAATTTCTTCTATCCACATTGCTAAAGTGTTCATAGTCATGACATACAGCGATGCTTTGCATTTAAAAAGTGTGCATGTAGGAATAAGTGAGCTGAAACTGTTTGGAGTGGTCGGCTGCCTCCACCGTGTCCCCCTCCATAGTCATTGCCCCATGCACTGAAGTCAGCCACCAGATTATCTTTCGCTCCAGTACTTGTGGTAATGCTTTATTTCCATCCTAAAACACCAAAGTATGGACTTTCTTCATCTTCTGTTAGACACTTTACAGAATTCACAGAACTTAGGCATTTTTCTAAGGCTGTACCAGGTGTTGCATTTCCACCCAGCAGAGCACAGTCCTGCGTCCTTCTGCTTTAAGATGCTGCTCTTTAGTAATCAATTAATAATTTCATGCTAGCATGGTTACTGTATCTTTTCCGAGTTCATTTACAAGCTGGACTATTACCATGGTAAAAGCTAAACAATTCCCTGTAAACTGCTTCACCCACAGATCAGTTTTATTCTTCTCAATTAATCTTGAGCGCAGGGCCATCCGGATGGCTCTCCCTCCTTGTTTGCTGCTGATGCACTGTACTGTTTTACAGGCTAACTCCTCTCATTAATTCTGCCTCGTTGTTTTTGCCAGCGTGACATGCTAGAATGCAGACAGTGCCAAAGTTTGCAGAAAAATTTCCATGAGGCTGAGGGGTATTCTGCAGGGAGGAGAAGTAGGAAACGTGACAGAAGTCACCTTTTATTAGTGCCAGTCTTGACTCCAACGTAAGGAAACGGTGCAGTAAGTGACAGCTTCTTTAGTTTCTGTTTTTTTCTGCAAGAGTAGCTCCTTTGTCAGCCAGTCAAAGTGAGTTTCAGGGAAATTTATAGAAACATGTTAACTCTTGGAGGGCTACAAATACCCTGTGAGGTACACGAAAAACCTTTCTCTTCTGAGATTTTGCACCGCAATAGATGTCCTCTGTGTTATGTATGCCGCACATCTAATACACCAGCCCTTTTCTTCAGGCATCGAATCAGCCCTTCAAGAGCAATTCTGATGGAGCATCCTCCATGGCACAAGTTGATCATCTGTGCAGGGTGGATCCTTCCAACTTGTTCATAATCAGATAGGAGCCTTGGTGGGTTGGGTGGGAGGCCTCCTCCTAATCCCACTGAAGTCAGAGGAAAGACTCCTATTAACAGGCTTTGGATCTGTGCCTGTGGGAAGCTCTTTTATAAACCCCAGCTTGCCTCGAGCAGCCTAATGCCTCCAGTTCGAACTAGCAGGGCATGCTGTAATATAAAGCCATTCTGTACTTCAGTTTTTCTAGGATTATTTGCAGGGATAAGGTGGCCCTATTGAGCTAAAAGTTGGGATCTTGGAGACTGGGAGAAGAAACTGATGGTATGTCTGAGTACAGCTGGGATCAAGAAGGTTACAACTCTCTTGCTTCTAGCACCAAAATCTTTTTGCAACATCATCTCCCAGTCTTTTAACAAATGCAGTCTTATGCCCGTCCACAATGCTGCCGTTGTTTGACCACGTAGCACTCTCTTGTACAGTCTGCTTACTTTCTCTTCCAATATAAATCAGATCCTCACTCACAGCATCTACCATGACTAACTATTTCCCTACTTACCACCTTCTATTCAGACTCTTTGTGCTGAATATTTATACTTACAGCGTAAACTTCTGGGGAAGAGACCATTTTGTGTTGTGTTTATGCATCAGTTGTCTCCTGGTCCAACATAATGACAACCAACATTAATAATAAAATAAACCATGTTGCTCCCAGTGTTCCACTTTTCTGCCCACCTCCTCCTCTACCCAGTACTGCACCGGTAACTCTGTCCCAGGTGCAGTTTTCCAGCTGCAAAAGAGCTAATGGGACAGCTGTTCCCAGCACCATATATTCCAAAGAAATGATTAATTTGAAGGTTTCCAAAGGGTTAGGGAAGTTGCCAACAGAAGAGGAAGGGCCTGAAATGGTGTAACTGGCCATTTCTTTCCTGGCTTAAGCCTACAACAGGTTGAGCCACCCAATTTAGGTCTAGGGGCAGGTATTCATCAGGTTTCTTGAGGGGAAGGAGGCTAAGATCTGCAGAGCTGTCCCTGTGCATGGCAGCTTGTTTTGAACAGTATTTTCCGAGAAGGATGAAGTTACTAATGAGAGTATTAAAAAAAGCAATGCTTGTCAAGGCTGTTGCTGACAGGATTTCCCATCTCAAAGCTGGGTAAGTAAGGGGAATTTGTTTCTGGAAGCAAATTCTTTTCCTTGAAGAACTACGTGGTATCAAGAAAAGAACTCCCTGTGTTTGCGCCCATCTTTCAGAAGATGAATTTGGAGTTGCTGCTGTTGCTTATCCTGCTGGAGCACGGGGTTGATTAGTGAATGTGCAGTGTTTACAGGGGGGAACGTGAGCTGGGCAAATGCAAAGATGAGAGTTACAGTTTGTCAGCACAGTATCTCTAAAAAGGAAGATTATATGCAAGCATTAATAACGTAGCTTGGGCGTCAGCCTAATTCTGAAGGCCTGTGGTGTTCATTATAATGGCACATTGCATTCCTCAGTGCTGGGAGATCATTTTATCACAACATTTGAAATATAAACTGAAGTCAAAGTTGAAGCAGGCTTTTTTTTAATTGCTGGCGGGAAGGCCATAATGTACCCTGCCAAAGGAGAGTTCAGGGCACAGCTGAGGGCATCATTAAATAGAGGCACCAGCTGACCTCCCGAAATGGCTGTGCAGGCAGCAGAAGTTAATTTCAGCAGGGCTGTTGCATTGATGCTTTGTGTATAATCACTGCGCTACACAGGGCTCTTGCTCCCGTCATTTCTTCTCACAGTGGGGTTATGTGATGTGGGACAGTGCCACACTGAGACACCAGCTGAGTGAGCTGCTTTGGCTACCAGGAGCACTTCTAATCATGTTGATGCAATGCCTGACTTGCATTAATTGGGCTTTCTGAGAAACTACGTGCAGTTGTCCAACAGGCTCTGCGTTGACATGCCTAGTTTGTTTATAGCCCTCACATTACCTAGAGGGTCTTCTGCTGAGACATATAAACATATTTCTGTACCAACTGTACACAAGCCATCCTCTCTGGTCCTGGGTATTGTGAGAGGTAGTTCCTATCATCACCTTGCAGATATGAATTACAAATAACTCACCTTCTGTTTATTTCAGAGCATTTTTTTCTTGCTGATATTTTGGCCCATATTCCTCTGGCATATTCAAAACTCTGAACAGGGCATGTAGGGAAGAATAAGGTTACACTAAAAATACAGGCCACAAGAGAACAGCTGTGTTGTGCCTATCTATCATTAAATAAAGAATAGAGCTCTAAAAGTGTTTACAGATTGTAAAACAAAAGCAGATTGAATATGTTTTAAATTCTAGGAACTAACCTAAAATTTGCTATAAAACAAATATATGGCTTACAGCTGGAAACCTGTCAAAACACACAAATGATTGCTCTGCACTGTCTGGAAAGAGTTTCTGTGCCCAAAGACTTCAGAACAGCAACAGATGTACTATTGCATAAGAAAGACATCCCTGTTTTGAATTTCAGTTTACACTACAGAGAGGCATATGAGAAATACAGTTCTTTTCATCTTACCCAGGTCCTTCTGTTGCCTCCTTAACATCTTGCTCCACGTACTTCTCCTGTGTTACAGTGATTAGCAGAGATACAGAAAGATGTGAATATATATCATTATAAGAATAGAAAAAGCCATCTGGCTCAGTGTTTGTGGCTGGCTCTTAATTCGACCATGTTGGTTTTTTTCCATGCCCCTCAAGCCCCTCCTTTTCCAGAAACAATCTATGTGATCCCACATCTCTTCTTCAGTAACTTGTTCCAGATGTCCAGCTTTATGAAGAATAAATTTGCCTTAGCTACTCAGTATTTTCCTAGTTTCTTTGTTTTTAGATTGCTTCCCCTTTCTTTGAAACTCCTTTACCCAATCATCTAGCTCTCTCTGGCCTTTTTTTTTTCCTTCCTAGTTTTTATAGTGTAATCAAAAGATATTTGTGTCACACAAACGTTTTTATCAAACCCCAGTCCGTGCCACACAAGGATAATGAGGTCTCTCTTGTTTTTAAATGAAGATGTGCAAGAGGGGTTGTGGCAGGCTGTGCAAGTAGATAGCTTTATGGAGAGCATTCAATTATTCAGTATGAATTTAGAATTTTCCTTGACTGTTCTATTCAATGCATTAAATAATGGTTATAGTAACAGTCAGCAGTATCACCAGTCGATAGTGCACTTTAGGATGACACCTGCACTTCAATCTCTGTCTCCTTGTCTCCTGCTTGCCCATGAGGCACAAGCTGGAGTTGACTCTGGACCTCTCTTTGGAGGACACCAGCTGGTTCCCTCTGAAACACGGCATGCACCTGGTTTTGTAGTTACCTCCTCACTTCAGAGACCCCCAAGTTTCCAAAAATTATGATGCTCATCCAGTTTGGCTCCCTCTGGCACTGTGCAGGCAGCCTATGGACCCTCAAGCAGCCTTGCTTGCTCTCCTTCTACAGCCCAGGACACACAATATCTACCCGCCATTACGTGCCCTAAAAATACTTGGTATGTTGCTGGGATGTTTAAAACTGAAATAACAAAACCCACGAAAGAGAATCAAGTCCTTGGGCATGCCAGCGGGCCCAAGGGGCTTTGTCTGTGTCCATAAACAAAATCCTCAGGCTTTGCCCTTGCGGCCTGAGGCATGGCCAAAGCCTCGCAGCCAAATGCCCTCCCTGAGTGGAGCAGTGTTAGCCATGCATGGTGTCCTGGGCATAGCTCCTGGCCATGCTGTCCCCCAGATTCAGATTCAGATTTGGATTCAGATTCAGATTCAGATTTGGATTCGGATTCAGATTCAGGGCACCTGCAAGGGCACCTGGTGGCCTGGGCCAAAATGGCGCCGGGCAGCTGAGGGAACAGGCGGGCGCCAGCTGTGTGCCAGCGTTCAAGCCCCGCTCGGTTTGTTCGTGTCGGTGGAGCTGAGGAGGCTGTATTTACAAGAAATTTTAGAAACTGGAAATAATTAGGAAAACATCCCAAGGCCTCATGGGAGTTCAATAATTCTGGAGATGGAAAAAGATGGTCTTTTATAATGGGAGTGTTGCACCCTCAGTCCTCCCTGCGAGGAAGCAGCCTGCTTTCCTGGACAAGAAGTAATACCGGGCTTGTTACGTTAGGGAGATTTCCCACATTTTCCATCTGTCAGTGCAAATTTTTGAGGGAACAAATGTGTGACATTTGACAAATTCAAGAGTCTCTCTCCATCTATAGTCAGGGGCTACTCCTGTTCAAGAAAAGGTCAGGATTTAATGTATAATTTGCACAAGGGAATCAGTCTCCAGGGCAAAAAAGCCAGAGACCCCCATGCACAGCCTGTCCCCAGCCCTGCCCCGGCTTGGTGGTCGGCATGGGGTTCAGGCTGGACACCCACCCTTCACACACATCCCATCTCTGCTTTACCACTTCTCCCTGCCTCTGCATGAGGACTGAGGTAGCTCAAGCCAGTGAAGGGGAGAAAAGTAGGCAGAAAAAGGTTCCTCAAATCCTGTTCCCCAAATACGATGTGATCTCTGCTGAGGCAACCTGCTTTCCTCAGATGTTTTCTTTGGGGCTGACCATGAGAAATGCTGTCACTGCAATCCCTCTACCCAGTCAGTCCTGGGTGATGTGCTCAGTGTCTCGTGTTCCTGCAGCAAGGTGGGGAATGCTTGAGGAGACTGAAGAGCAGCACTGGGGAACCACACCAGTCAGTTTTGGGCAGCAATACACTGCAAAATATGCTGCTGAGCTCAGTAACAAAAGCTACATTAACCACTTTCAACTTACTGTATTGAAAACTATATCTTTTCTGTTACACCTTCTCTCTTCCACAGAATATTTAACATCAGTTAAAATTAAGAGGCTCAGTAAAATGCAGAATAACAGATTGCCTTCTATAAATACACCTTAAAACAAATAGGCTTTTTTTTTTTTTTTTTTTTTTTTTAACATGGAAAAAAATATTACCCAAAACAGTGGATATCTCACAGCTCTTACTGTTTAGAAACAGGGATTTTATTTTTCCAGTCCAACTCTTAATTTTTCCATTCTCTCTCGGTTTGGAGTGCAGTGCAAATACAGTACAGCTACATTTCTGCTTTCTGTCCTACACCTTGCAGATCACATTGACAACAATTTAAGCAAAAGGATTGCTCAGAGTTACAAGGATCATCTGATTTACTGAAACTCCTAGACTGGAGACATACCAGGCTCTCCCGCAGGAGACCAGAAAAAAAGGAATGTTTGTGTGGATTATGTCGCATATTTATTAATATCTTTGTTGTCTCTCAGAGTTCATACCAGTTATGAAGGAGTAAAACTTTCAGAGTGAAGTCTGGCTTATCGAGGCTGTTAAGGAAGCCTCGTTCCACATCTTCAAGCACAATGACAAGAGCAATCAATCAAATAATCCTTTTACTTTTTCTTTTCATGTTCCTGGGTGGGGATGTCTCCAGAAAGCTAATTGTTAGTATTTGTGTTCAATACAGGCATTAGTAAGACTGAGAGGTACAAATATGAAGATTATTCACAGTAATTTCATGCTGTAGGGTATTCCATGGGCAAGGATATCAAGATAAATGCATTGTATATAAATGTATATTATGAGGGATTATCTCTGCTTTTTTTTTTTTTTTTTAGATTAGTAAGTGAGCAATAAAACATTGCAGAAGTTCATCTGGTCTGAAGTAGGACATCAACTGAACCGCATTTTCAGTTGTTTCAT